GCTCCACCTCTTCCTGGCGATGTGACTCTGAAATAATTATTTCACCTTTAGTTGTCTTCTAGTCTGCAAAAGGAAGAACGTATGGCTGTTGCCATTTTAAAGTGTAGCCACACATTCTTTGACAGTCCTCCCACTGAGAGATGGGGTGTGTTTCCACCACCTTGAAACTGGGTGGGCTTTTATGTGTATTTCACCCAAGAGGCTCCACGGCCCAAGAGGTGGCCCTCTGTGACTTCTGAGGCCAGGACACGAAGTGCTCCCCTTCTGCCTTGCTCACTGGAGTGCTTGTACTTAAAGCCTTCAGCTGCCAGCTAAGCAGCCGATGGCACTGCAGCCGCCAGGTTGTGAGGAAGCCCAGACTGGCCCTGCAAAGAGGCCACATGCAGAGGCCCGAGTCCACACAGAGTGATGCCGGGCCAGCCCCCCTGCCACAAACTAAGAACAATGGTATAAGGACCCCCAAACCGGAACTGCTCAGCTAAGCGCTTCCCCAAATCCCTGACCCCCTCCCGCCCCCACCGCCACGAACTATGAGAGGTAATAAAATGACTGGTGTTTTCAGCCACTGCGTTGTAGGTGATTTGTGAGACAGCAACAGAAAACTGGAGTATCTGTCATAAGTATACGTGACACCCATACAGAGTTCGTTTCCTACCCGCTATCTCATTTTGTCCTCACAATTGCACTGGGAAAATCATATTCTCATTTTACAATGATGAAACAGACCCACGGCAGTGCCTGGATTGCCCAAGGTCACGTGACTAGCGAGTGGCAAAGCAACAATTCCTGGTGAGGAACTCTGACTCCAGGTCCAGTGATTTTTCTCCTGCATCATAGCTGACCCCCAAGTAGAACAGAAATGCAAGAAAAACATACACATCGGTACACACATGGGCACATGTGGAGATCAGAGAGAAGCATTCTGCTCCAAGCCTCAGGGCACACAGGAACCAGCCCCTCCCAGGAGCAGCCCTGCCCTGACATCAGGAATATACGGACAACATGGGCAGCTAGTGGAAAACCATATAATTAGGAAATGATAAGAGGACACAAGGACCGGCGAGGGCTTGTTGTTTCTATCACCAGACATCTCAGCGGACAGCCTGGGCATCATCACTGAAGAGATTTCAGAAATACTTGTCATATCCCAGAGAAGTTTCAGTGCAACAAGAGATGAAGGTGATGTCCTTGGTTACGGGGCCCCGAGCCTGACAGCATGTCAGGACGAGCTTCAGTACTTGTAACCACCACGTGTCAGATGAAGACAGGCTTCTATTTTGACTCCACTGCTATTTCTTGTTTGCCTCTACGGCCTTTTCACTAAAATTGATAAATACCAAGCCATGGAGACACAGGAAGTATACTGTGAATGGGTATGAAGCCAGCATCTCAAGGAATGTGTACCCACAGTAGGTCACTTTGGAAGAAGATGCCAGGAGATCAATACTTTCAAATTCATCTAAGGAAGATCTGAGCAGGACGAGGGGCTCATCACAGTCAAATCCTACCAACAGTCACTTTTTAAGGGTCTAAGAAGGAACATTATCAATTGATGCAAAAAACAAAACAAAAAAAAAAAAAGAGAGAGAGAAACAGATATAATTCTCAGGTGCAAGTCAAAAGACTAAAAAATAATGTAAGCAACCTTAAGGCCTAAGTTCCTATATGCCTACATTATCTTTCAAAGAGTGCAGGGATAAAGAGAACCCCATTATGTATTTATGTTGTGGCTTCAAGCAGTGGTTTCCAGACAGTTTCCACTATCTCAGAATCACCTGAAAACATTTTTTTTTTTAAATGCTCATATTCTTGGGACTTAGTCCCAGAGATTCTCAATTAGTAGGTCTGGGTAGTTCCCATGAATATGCATTTTTGGTATGTAATTCTAACACACAATCAAGTTTGGGGACTGCTAGGTGACAAAGAACGTTCACTGTAACCACAATATCTGTTTTCTTTAGAAGCAGAACTCCAACATGTTAGTGGAGAATATGACTTCCCTGAATAAAAATCTATCTTTTCCAGGCTCCCTTGCAGCTATGTGGCAGCTACAGGCAGCCCTGCAGCCAAGTGCTGTCAATAGGTTCTAAAAGGAACTGTGAAATGTTTAAGACCTAGGGAAATTAGATGCCCCACTTTAATGCTGCTTCCTTCCTGCCAGCTGTAATGTGGACAACATGACTGAAGCTCTGACAGTCACTAGGGATCATAAGATGATCTCGAGAATATAGATAAGCAAAGTGAATGAAATATAAAGGAAGCCTGTCTCCCTAACACTGACAGCCCTACACTAAAAGCCTCTAGACTTACTGACCATAAAATGAAATAAAATGCAGAGTCACTGTTCCTTGGGACTTTTTGATAAATTACAATGATATCTAATACTAATACACCTAACTATCATAGAGTCTGCGTAAAATGCTAATATCCACTGTCACCATCCAACTGATATGAGGCAGGAACTTGATTTTAACCCATAATTTACAAACAAGGAAACTGAGTATAGAAGAGTGATATAACTTGCTCAATGCCACATGGCAATTAAGCTAGGAATGTGCTAGCATTTAGACTTACGTCTCCCAGCTACAAAAGCCAACAGTCTTTTGCCTACACTATTTTGCAGGGCACTCAGAGCAGAAACCCTCATTAAAAGTAGAATGTGTACCTCTCAAAACTGAGCAGGGGGAGGAAGCTGTTGCCCAAGCAGGAAGAGAAATCCCCCATTTTCTCCCTCAGTTACACGTATCCCCCTCGGTTTCCTTTTCCTTCTCTATTTTTCACTTTTTTGATTTTTCATCAGTTCTTTAAAAGAAAGACTGAGTCATAATAATGTAAATACACTTAAGGGGAAAAGCTCTCCCTCTGGGCCTTCCCGCCTAATTAGCAGAATTCCATCACCCACTCCAAACTGACACCATAACCATCACCTGCGAGCAGAGAACCTGCAAGAAATCAAACAAGCTTTCACCCAGGCACAAATAGAAGTTCCCCCAATTAGAGCCCTCCCCAAACCAGCCTAGACCGAGAGAATTTGTGAATACTGCTGAGTCTCCATTTTCTTTCTTTTTTTAAAGATTTTATTTTTAGAGAAAGGCGAAGGGAGTGGGGGAAACAGGGAAACATCAGTTGATTGCCTCTCATAGGCCCCCAACTGGGGACCTGGCCCATAACCCAGGCATGTGGCCTGATGTGGAGTCAAACCAGCGACCCTTTGGTTCACAGGCCAGTGCTCAGTCCACTGAGTCCCACCACTCAGGGCAAGTCCCCATTTTCAAAGATGAAAAATAGAGATGCCCAATAATACAGACCACTGTCAATGGTATTGGGAGATTAAATGAGATTGGGCCTGGCATGTAGTCAGGACTGAATGAACATACAGCACTGAACAGCACTGACATTTGCATTTCTCCAGTTGTTAACCATCTCTCTACTTCCCACCTAAGACTACAAGAACTAAAAGGAAGTTTGTCTCTTTTTCACCCACTGCTATTGTCCAGCACAGAGAACAATGTGAAATACATAACAGAGGCTCAATAAGTACTTGTTGAATGAATGAATGAATGAATGAACGAAGAAATGATAACACAGTACAACTACTTCCTGCCCAGGTATTCGGAGCTTGCATGACGGACCAACTGTGTTTTGAATTCTTTCTGCTGTGACAGTGTTTTGCTTCATGTTTTTCCTACTCCTGTACATTCCTCATTGGATACCCTCCATCTACCTCTCCCCAAATCTCCACCACTCTACACTCTGACCAAGAGAAACCCTACCATCCCCAGGGGTTCCCTCTGACTGTGCCAGTCGAGTCTCCGCGCTCGCCACTACCCTTCCATGGAACTGGCCTGTACCACTCAATAAGCCCGATACGCCCTTGTGACAGACCATGCAGTATCACCAATATTAAAAATAATCCCATTCACGTAAACAGCAGATGAGAGTCTGCAAAGTTTTCTCTTCAGGAAGTTTGAAGTCTAACATTCTGAGAATGTGGCCAGGAAATGAAATAAACAGCACGTAACATCTGTGTCTAACCAAAAATAATTTTAAAATTTGCCCATAACTGAAAACATACTTTGAACCAGGCACTATGTGTGCCTTTTTATACGGACATCCCATTTAATTTTCACAATTTTTCTAGGAAGCAGGCATTATTTTCTCAAACTTATTGATGCGACATCTGAAGTTGAGAGAGGTTAGGCAACTTGGTCAAGTACTCAGAGCAGAAATCCTCAGAGCTGGGGTATGAACTCAGGCTTCTGTGTGTCTCAAAGGGTCTTGCTCTAAACAGGGCCGCTCTAAGTCCTGTCCAAGGGAACTAAAGAAGCAGGAAATGAGAGACAGACAGAGGTAGAGAGGGAGTGTGTGTGGATGTGTTTGTACTCAGTGCACACATAATCGTGGCTACATGAATGGTAGAGGTGAGAGGTGGTAGGAAGAAGGAGTGGTAAGTTTTCCAAATGTCCAAAGAGTTACTAAGAAATAAAGCATTCTCTAAAAGGGGGAAATGATATCAAGCTCTAAAAGCTCAAACCACTGCCTTAGGTAAGGAACAATCTCTGGTTCTGAATTGCAGAAGCTGCTCATAAGGTGAGAATGAGCCCCAACCCAAGGGAGCTGCCCAACAGGGTCGCAACCCCAGGTGCACCGTTCACACTGAAGTCTAAGTAACAGGGGTCCCCCAGGATGACAATGAGGTGTATAAACCTTGAGTAGGTCCAAATGACCTGCAAAGAAAGGAGAGTCAGGTTCCAGCAGCTTGCACTTTTTAATATCTCTGTAGTATAGGCTTTCTCATTCCCATTTTTCAGATGGCGAAACCGAGGCTGGGAGGCTAATGTTTTGTCAGGCCCAACAGCAAAGTTAGTGACCACGCCAGATTCACACCAGGCCTGGGTCAAGAATGCCAGCCCTGTCCAGGCACCTGGCGGTGCTTCTAGGGCAGCATTTGCAAGAGGTGGGGACGGCAGGGCCTTGGCATGACTGCAGGAGCTCTTTACCTCACACTTCTCCACAACCGGCTGCTGTCCACACTCGGAGCTGTTGCCTGCCACGATGCCAGCACGAAGGTTCTCGCTGTCTCCAGTACCCTCCTCCATGGAGTAGGTCTTGGAGTGGTTGCCACGGCGATGGGCTGGGGCCCGACCCTGGGCCAGGCTGAGCTGCCTGCGGAGCGCGCGGTTCTCCTCCTCCACCTCGCGCACGCGCACCTCCAGGCTCTCGCGCTCCCGCTGGCCAGAGGCTGAGTACCGGGGGCTGTGCGGCTGGGACTCCAGCGGAGACAGAGACACGGGCTTCCCATCTGTGGGCACAGAAAGACCAGGGAAGAGTTAACCCGGAATTAAACACGCCCCCGCGCCTCCATGTACCCCAGACAGCCATTACTACATAGCGAAGTTCCTTTCACAATGCCATTTACAAGGGAAAACAGATGGAAAGTGGGTTACAAATAAATGCATCCAGACTGAACTGGGAACGAAGTCGAGAACAGAATGACTTATTATGGTGATAAAAACCAACATGCTGTTTAGAGAAGACAATCATAATATAATTTTTCCCAATTAAATGCACTGTCTTCTCTTCCCTACTTGGCATGTTACTAGGTGGACATTCTTGTTTTCAATAAAGCATTATGACTATGAAGGAGGCAGAGGGGGGAAAAGCGGGGAAAAGGGAAGAAGGAAGGTGAGGGATAGGAGGACATGAAAGTGGGCAAAAAAAGGGAAGAGAGCCGGGGGGATAAAAGAAATATTAGTAATGATTAAGTTTATTTAGTCCTTCCTCTGAGAACTCCTATTCATCCTTCAAAGCCCTGTTTCAGAAGCATCACCTCCCCGGGGAAGCCTTCAAATGGCGGGTAAAATATCCTTCAGCATATCCCCAAAGTGTTTTGTACCTAAGCACTACAAAAATCCATGTGCATGTACCTGTCATAAATGATTTTATCAAATGTGCCCTATGAAGATTTGGAGTTCAATAAGGACAAAGACTGGGCCCTTACTTACCTTTGGGGTTACATTATCACAATGTCCAGTAAGTGCTGGAAGGGTAGAGGCATGTGTCCATGCCAACAGTAAAACAATTAAAGGAAACAAGGACGCAGAAAGTAGGGATGCAATCAGTCTCAAAGTTTTCCCAGAAAAGCAGTTGCCGTTAAGCTGAGTACCAGCACCACTTCATTAAACAATCATACACAGAGCAGTAGGTCTTTCAAAGTCACGTACCCGGAGTGCACTGATGTCTGAATGCGTACGCAGGTATTTCTCATGCTCGAGCCTGTACACTTTCCCCTTAAATGCAGTTTCATAATAGGCTATACAGAGAGCCATGAATTTAAAAGAATTATTAATGTGAAACCCCATCTCCCCAGGATTCTTAGCATACCACCCTGTGTACAGTGGGCGCTCAATGCATGCTTACCACCAAGCGACACCACTGACACCAGACACACCAAAAGGTGTCACGCCTCTGTTCCCACACCCCACTAACCCCAGTGTCCAGCTCCACCGTGGCTGCCTCAGAGACGACGGAGCAAAAATCACATCCCCAGCAAATTACCCTCTCGGTCGCTTGCCAAAAAAACACTCCTCTTTTTTCATACTTCAAGTTTTCCTACTTCCTGCTCAGACCCCACTGAGCTTTCAAACTGTCCCAGAGAGTCGGTGTGTCTGACAAAACTTGAGGATCAAAGAATGTGGTGAATTACACCCCGCGGGGTCCACCTGCGCCGCGACTGCATTGCCTCGGCCCAGGGCTTTTTGATGTATCTCTGGGCCTTCACAAACATGACTGCTTTCTTCCCTCCTAATCACCTCGGGGTTAAGCTCCTGAGCTCCTGGTCCTCTCCCATCAATGCAGCAAATGCGACCCGCTGAATTACACTGCCCAGGACTACAAATCAAAGGCCAAGGTGAGTGGCGGGGACGTGAAATCACAGGCTGATTAGGGTTGCATTGTCACCGAGCTGGACAATTACAAGCTCTGACCCAGGCTTTTGAAAACCGGTCTGTTTGGTCAAGTCAAATTAGTTCCACCGAGAATGGACAAGAATAGGCAGCATTTTCTCAACTGACATCAGCACAGCCAGCACGGGTGGGAAGGATGAGCATCGAGCTTGGCAGTGGGCAGTGTCACGCTGTGTCTAGCGCCTGTTGCGTGTGCGCGCTGTGCTGGGTGGTTCACGCTGAGGATGCCAGGTTACCACAGCACAAGCAGGTGTCAACTGGCATCCCCATGACGGATGAGGAAACTGAGATTCTAAAAGCTTAAGCCATATTCCCATTGTGGTGCAACGTGACTAGAATGAAGGTGGGTTAGAGGTACAGGTGCTCTAGGACACTGGGGTCCTTTGGGAACACTGGGACAGGAATCTGAGAAACTCTGGAAGCCCACAAAACTAAGAATGAGCAGGGGAACTCTAAGTGTGTGTTTTGGAGAGGTTACTTAAGTGTTCCGAGTTTCAGTCTTCCCTTCTGTGAGATGGGAGCACAGATGTAACCGTACAAGGCGGAGGGAAGGCTTAAGTCAGACACCCAAAGAAGAAGCACCAAGCACTGTGCCCAGTGCTGGGAGTCACTCGGTATACAGTAGTTCCTCCAACTCCTTCCCAGCGGGGCTGGGGATATTACAGGTAAGGGGAGTTGATAATGTTAAAGGCTGTACATTTTCTGAACACAGGGCTATTCTGAGCAGCATATGGGAGCAAGGGGCCAACAAACCATGGCTGACTTTGTCAGGTGGCATCGCTGAACCTTCTTGCCTTCAGCCTTGGGTATGAGGTCAAAGTTCATCCAGAGAAATATGATCAGGCAGGTCTGCCATGGGGGCCTCATCACCTCCCATATTCCTCTCCAGAAAGCCCCACACTCCATATGATCATGAAAAGTAATTTTTAAGTGTTTGACTATGTGCTCATAAATAAAGGATTCTTACGCAATTCCCTAAGCAACTACAATTCCAGAATGCTGGAGGGGAAATGCTCTCAACATCCTGTGTCCATTTCTACCCTTCTTAGACCCCAAATGGCTTTAACCAAACTTCGTTCTCAAAGACTCCCAGGTGTTTTCTGCACTTGAAAACGCTGTCACCAATGCAGACACACCACCTGATAAATGCCAGGCCTCAAAGAGGGGAAGTGACGTTGGAAAAGGCAGCACTCATGCTATGCCCAGTGCCTGGCACATCCGCTCTGCTCAGAAAAGGGCAGAATTATAACTTCTGATGTGTCTGTTTCACAGGGACATCGGCTTGAGCTGAGCCCTCTGCCCCCCTCAGCCAGTTTCTGCTTCTGAAAGGGAGCGTGGTGAAGGCGTGCTCCAGGCCCCCTCTAGGCTCTAACCCTCCCAACCCACAGTGCAGCGGGGCCCACATCGCTAACCAAGAAGCCGGATGCGATGCAGCATGGCCAGAGGTGACACAAGGGGGGGCCTGTTTCTTTGCCACATTCACGGCTCATTCTGCATTCATTCATCTTGGTCCTTGTTTTTGTGCCTGGACCACTCATCTCTTTGGCTCCTGACTTCTTTGTTGCAACTTCTCCTACCCCCCGGGGGCTGGGAGGAGAGAGGGTCGGGGCAGCAAAAGGCCGGCCCCCGTAGCTGTGTGCCGTACTTCTCTGTGATGTCTTCAGGGCTCTGGTCTCTTCCTGAGCGCTCCCCTGCTCTGTGCGCAAATCATCATTACGGGGCCCATCACATGGGAGTTTTGGCCTAGGAAAACAACTGTGCCTACAGCAGTATTTCTCAATAAGTAATGAAGTTTTTCCCCCTAAGCCATCCTGGATAAAAATGCAGTCCTAATACATAGCTTACCCCATGTGCAATTTATCACTTGAATTCAACAAATTTGTCCATACCTGTCAGGAAACACCCTGTCTGGTTTCAGGAACTGTAACCATGTCGACAGGTGAGAGGGCCCCAAGGCTGGAAATAATCAAGGAAGCCTTGGGAAAACAGGCCCCTGAGGAGACAAAACCTGTCCCCCTGGCAGGGGCGCAGCTCCTGACCCCCTCACATCACCCTGCTTGGCCCTATGATGGTCGGTGATCCATGACGGTAAGTTTTTCTCATGCTGAGAAAACCTCAGAAAGACATCGGCTGGTATGCACAGCAGACATGCGCATGGGAGAGGAGAAAAAGCAAAAGGCCCGCACCCTTCAGCTCGGCTTGGGCATGGCCGGAGTCCTCATTCTATCTGAAAGAAGTCCCCTTGTCTCTTGGCGGCTCCCTCCCCTGCCTGGCTCAGGTTTGAAATAATACCAGAGACAGCCCTAAACTAGATCTGGCCATTCCCAAGGAAATCAGGCCTGGAAGTAAGTTCTTTAAAGTATCCTTTATTTTCCCCTCAAAAGATATAGCCAGCTCATGCTGGGAAGGAAATTTACACCATTCACAGACCCTAACCCTATACCTGTAGGCACTCTCATGTTTACTACGCTCTCCTGTTTAGTCATCTCTCTTGTTTACTAATCTCCTCTCGGATGTAAATCTGTGTGTTCCTACCTTTTGTTTTCTCCAAAACATCACCCATTCTCTGTAAACATTAACATACTGATGTAATGAGATAACCTGTACAGCTGTACAGTCCTGTTACCCGGCCCCACTGATAACCCTTTCAATAAAAGCCTTTGAACAAAGGGGCTCGGGGCCTTCCCCACGAAGGGGATGTGCCATGTTCCCTCTCCTGGCAAAGAAATGTTTGCAATGACTCGTGTTTATTCCCCCAATGCGTGACAACCCCAAGATGGGCTCTGCAGGATTCAGAGTCCCCGCTCCCATCTCAGCTGGCCCCCAGGACAGTAACCCTCAGATCCCAGAGTGCCACACTCCCCGCAACGCGCTCTGTCCCCTGCAGCAGTTGTTGCCTGGACCAGGGACGAGCAGTGACCCGCGGTATATACCCTGCTCCTCAAGACAAGTCTACTGATCACATGCTTGATGCATGTCCAAGTGCTATAGAAGTTCCTACGTGCATACTGTCAACTTCCATACTCACCTTGTTGCAGACCAGCAACAGTTTCGGAACTGTGATAGCTTATTTTATATGTCAACTTGACTGAGCTGTGGGGTGTCCAGATATGTGGTCAAACATTATTCTGGGTGTTTTGGATGAGATTAACATTTGAATCAGTAGACTGAGTAAAGCAGACTGCTCTCTCTAATGCAGGCGGGGACCTCATCCAATCAGCTCGAAGGCCTGGCAAAGAATAAAAAGGCTGGTCCTGCCCTGTGCAAGAATTATGCCTGCCTCACAGCCTTCAAACGGGGATATTAGTGTGTGTGTGTGTTTTCCTTGCCTTAGGAC